TACACATTTGACTGGTGCCGTATGGCCAGGAATGGTCATCAGGGAATCTCCACTAGTGGACCATAATCTGGCTGTGTTGTCATAGCAACCTGACAAAATGCTGCAAATAAAAAAATGGCACTTAAATGATATGATAACGTGCATCAACTAAGCCAGCAAGCCTGACCACCCAATCCTCTTCGTCGCCTGGTGCGGTGGGGTAGCCTAGTGGTTAAAGCGTTTGCTCGTCACGCTGAAGACCAGGGTTAGATTCCCAACATGGGTACAATGTATGAAGCCCATTTCTGGTGTCCCCTGCCATGATATTTCTGGAATATTGCTAAAAACGGCGTAAAACAAAACTCACATAGTACCCATGTGGGAATCAAACCTATATCTTCCGCGTGACAAGCGAACGCTGAGGGTGAACTAAATCCATTGACTGGGGTAATAACAGGGTATGAAACAAAACTTTCACCCAGACCAGATGGTTAGATGTAAAACTTGCCCTGACCAAAACTTACCTGCCCACAAAAACAACAACTAATATACATATCAAAATTCTAACCCAACCATTGGGCAGGTGAATTTGAGAATTTGGCAGTCCGTGATGAAAATAACTCGTCCTGGGCGGTCGGGCAGGCAGGTATTTCGAGCGCTGGTAATAATCAGGTATTGCTTTGAGCATGCCCCTCTATGGGGTGGAAATATAGCACAATATACCGGTACATGACCTTTTTGTTAGTTATCAATCTTACTAGTGAGTATTGGCCTGTAGACAGCTGACCCAGTCGTCATGGAGAAGTGTGTTCTCTGGTTTCGGTGCTGCCTGACGCTCAACATACTCAATGTCCAGCACATCTTCCTGGAACAGGGGACAGGGGTTTATTTCTGGCTGGGCTCAGCATGATCTACGCTCAAGATTAAACTGAAGAGACTGTAGAATCATAAACAAGAAAGAGCAGACTTTCTTAGGTCCCTACTCTTACTTTAACAGTAAATTATTAAGCTGTTTCAGACCAGTTTGCCAAGAACTCCTTTCTTAGGTTTGACATGGAATATTACTTTTTTAGTTATACCAGAATGTCATTTGAATACTAGAAGAATAAAACATTTCTCAACTAAACCTGTAAACATAATATATAGATCTATTCATGACAACATTTTAACATACAGTATTTTGTAAGTAGTGATTAGGGTTTTAAGATAATATTTGTTATTTGCTATTTACTGTTGAAACTCCTCTTTGCTCCAAGTACACATCCAAAGTCACACGAAGGAACTCGCCCTCAATGAGGAAGTCGAAATCCACGCCACCCTCACTTTCTTCTTCTGAAAATATACATTTAACAATGGAAACAGTTACAACTGTGTATAAATGATGATGCTAAAAGACTTCTCATGGTTAGATCTACATGCCCTTGTTGAAGAAATATGGAAAGTCAAAACGCCTGCCACAGATGGGTGGAAAAGATATTGTACGGGACGAAACACATAACCAAACAAATGTTAAAGTGTCCATGAAGTGACAGTCTTTGTCAGATTCAACAGTTACTAAACAGAAAATTGCCAAGGACAAGACGTTTTATACCACAATGATACACGATACTAACTTTAACAGTAAATTATAAAAGTTAAATTTGTATGATAAACATATACATTTTACATAACAATTGATAAATGTGACAAATGTATGCTGTTTGTCTGTTGAACTATTTGACAGTTGACTTCAAAGAACTTATGAATGTGACAAACATACCATTCAGAAGTCCATTGATTAAGGAGCTGAGTTCTGTGGTACCAACATTAGCAGGCACAGAAAAGGGGCTGTCAGGAACTGAATATCTAAAAAAGCGAATAAAGATCAGTATGAGGTGCAGAAATACCATGGCCAATTTGCCCAACCAGAAATTTTAGGCGGTCGAACAAGTCATTATAGCTGTCCCTGGACAAGTTCAACTGTCAAGAACCAAAACAATATAATAATAATAAGTCATCTTCTATAGCGCACAGTCTCCAAACACCAAGTGATTGCTTGCGGCACTTAATTGGAATCTGATTATTATTACCCTGGATTACCCCAGCTGCCTGTTAGGTGCTAAAAGGTTATCGTCACATGACTTTATCCAACCAGATACCCATTTTCTGCTAGGTGAACAGAGGCAATTTTGAACAAACTCGCTTGCCTAAGGTGAGACCACATGTATCACATGTGCTTCGTTGTGGGGCAGGACTGAAGTTCTAGAAAGTCTCAGGAGTCAAGCTGCCAAACACGGTCACCCATCCAAGGACTATCCGAGCTTGACGTTGCTTAACTTCAACTGATTCGTGACCTGAGCTCTGTTGTGTGCACAGGACCACACGCTAAACCATCATTTATCACAGTCTGGTGCAAATCTCCTTGTAATTACCCTGCTACTCTATGAAAAGTATTAAATCTTCACCACTGATCAGTTTCACACACTAACTGATAGATCACTATTTCAATGTGAGATCACTATTTCTTTATTTGTGCATAAAGAATCTATGAATTCCAGTCAAAACCCAATTTGAACAAAGACGATAAACAAAATTAAACATGCAAGCTGAACAGTACAAAGAACACACAAGCCTTCCACCCAGGACAGGCATTCATCAGTTGACCCTCATTTATTTGAGAGCTAGTAAAAATGTTACTTCTTCTCCATCCGACATCTTGTCAACTGATTAAATTATGGAGGTATAACGAAATGACATTTTCTCCTTACGAGATCATATGATATTCATAAAATACTAGGGACCAACACAACTACATCTATAGGACTATTGCCATGACAAATCATCAACACTTTCCCAGTGACTTCGATCAAATTTTGTCATGTCGAATTAAATCTGTGATTCAATCCATAATATTTCCTACAATACTGGAGAGAACGCGACAAAAATTAATCATAGAACAGACACTGTATGAAAATATAATTTTCAATCATTTACAACCAATGAAAACACATACGCTGGTTGTTTAGTGAAGAATTTCACTTGCACGTGGGGACAATTTTCTGCCATGGCGAAATAACAATCCTAACTCCATTCACGGAGCACTAACAAAGGGAGGTAACTACGTCCGTGGCAATTTTTTAAATATACACTTATCATCTCATAGATGACCAGTTCGAATCCCTTAAGAGATTGCAGTTTAGTTTTTAATGTCATTACATTGAACTTGTATATTTCCTCTAATATAGATTGTTCTATATCCAGTGAAACACATCTGCACTTGAATGGAATTAAATATAACTATTTTCTTCTTTCTTTTAAGCCATATATGTATCTTGAGGTTTCAAAACACATTCAATGTTTATATATATTGTTCTGAAAGCACTTTGACACTCGACTACATGAAGATGGTGAAATTATTCCCATTTCCCACTATGGATTTCCCAATTTTAAACTGGACTGAAATTACTCATATGCTTATCATAGAAGGCTGCTAAATGGATATTGCTTATGTGTCAGTGAGTGAGTATAGTTTTATGACAGATTTAGCAATATTCCAGCAATATCATGGCGGGGGACACTAGAAATGGGATTCACACATTGTGCCCATATGGCCTCAACATGACAACGAAGCTTTAACCACAAGGCTACCCCATCTACAAAAAGTGTGTCAGGGTAGACATAATCCTAACTGTATGGGACCTTGCTCGTAATTATTATCAGTCACTGGTTTGTTTGGCCCAGATATTTTTACAGGCTGCCAGATGATATTCACCTCCAAAGGACCACCCCATTCTTTCATATGAACTTAGTTTATCTGGTATGGCCTGGGTGGGTGGTCCTTGATGTCATTTTGGGTGTAAAACTTTATGCTGTATTTATTTAAATGGATACATTTGGAGGTGGCAAACAGTCATGTGTAGAGTGCACTAGTCACAGATCAGACGAAAGTAATGTTGGTTGCAGAGGGTAATTGGATTGGTAACAGTATCCAGCAAGCTTGATGCTTAGAGTTTCTTGGGAATCTGTCGGTTGATTTGGCACAGCACAAGTAGTCATCCGGAATGAGTAACTTTTAAGTACAAGATATGGTGATTCTTTGACGGTTGATCTGTTAAGTGTTTTCAGTGTATGAGAGCGAAATTTTATTTCATGTCAAAAACTTTTTTTCAGAATGTGTTGCTTCTTAAATTAGATTCAAATAATTCAGGAATTGTTGGGGTACCTGTACATTTTGCAGATTTTCTGAAAACTGACAGAGAATGATATATTTTTGTCAAATGAGATATAAATTGTGCTTCAAACTGATCTACTTAATCAACTTTTACAAGACTCACATGTTCCAGTGAAGTATTATTTCAACCTACTGTACTTATTTTTAGCAACTCACCCTTTGGGATGATAGTTAACACGTCTTTATCAAATACAATTCTGTTTGAGGCTGAATTACACTTTCTTCCACTTGGTTAGGAAAACCTAAACAGACTAAAGAATAGAGTATAAAAATACTGAATTCACAGAAACTAGAATTATTAGAAGAAATGTTTGTTTTTGTCTTCCATCCTAGTTTCCAATGGTATATAATATTTTTGCTTCACATCTTGCACAAGTGTTTAGATTCATTTTACATAAAATGTTAAATGTGTTCAATTTAGTGAAATCTAAATCCACATACTGGTGATTGAGACTTGCTGCCAAAACTGAAGGATTTTATTTCTGATTCAAGTTCACTGCTTTTTTTCTTATACTAACATATTAATGATCAAACTTTAGATGTCATCCTTCTCTTATCATTTGTAAAAAATGTTTTATTTACTGTACGTATTTTTGTAAATTTTAAATCAAATTTTACAGCAATAAGATTTAATTCACAGCATGATAAATCACTCTTTTCACAATTGTGTTATCAAAGTCAAAATTCCAAAATTCATGAGGAAAAATAAAAGTTGATAAAGCGACCAATGAAATAATGCGATAATGATGACTGGAAAGTTTCTTTTGACCAATAGAATGCTGCGTAACATCATGCAAAGGAACTTCCGGAACTCTAGCTTGCTTCCGTGTTTAGTAACGATCGAAGTGAAAAGAAAATATGTGTGAAAAATCAAGGAGAGAGAGGTTTATTTCTTGAGACAGCTGGTAGTTATGTCAGTAGACGAGGAGCAAGGCCTTGTCGAAGTTCTCTATGATTATTCCTATGAGGATGACAATGGAACGGTGACTATAGTGACTGGGGAGCAGTATGCGCTCCTCGAGCAAACCAACACAGAATGGTGGCAGGTTAAACGAAGTGACCAGCATGGGGAGACGACTTTTTACGTACCAGCTCAGTACGTGCGGATTATATCCCAGGACGATGCGGGCATTTATTGCAATCAGGATACGTTTGCCGCCAAGGATGTGAACGATAACTCAGGGAGGACCACGCCCCTTGACTATCACAGGGGTTCCCCCAGTATTGAAGTGTCAAATGGGGACAGGCGAGGACTTCTCCCCCTAAATATTGGTGGTGAGGGTCATTCCGTGGAGGTGCAGTATGCTAACCTGGACGATTATCGAGTGGAGGCAGGAATTCGACAACCAGTTAGTGAAACAAAACAGGTGAAGATTGGTTTATAACTTTTCTGTGTCCAGATGTTTACGTTTATCAACATAGTTTTAGATATGTATGGGCTCTGTTTCTGAATATTTCGATTCAAGAAATAAAATCGTCCAGCTAATATGTAGTTAAACGCTTTCATTATAGTCTCTGTTTCTGTATTTGATTAAATATTCTGATAACACTGGTATTGTCATGCCACACAAATAGATTACAAATATGAAAGCTGGCCAGTTACTGTTTCATCATGTTCATGTTTCCATTTTATTTAAATCAAGTATAAACTGTGTATCCAAATACTGACCATCTGACAGTAATGGGATTTGTTTTGAAACTAGTTTGAAGAAACATTATACCAGGGCTCCAGATAATTTTTCAACATCAGGAGTACGTACTCCATATATTTTCAATATTGAGTACTGGAAAACCTTAAGTGTACATTTAGAGTACTGAATGGAAGCTAAAGGAGTATCAGTAATCTTGTGTTTCGTTTCATATATGCACCACAACATTGCTAGTCTTGTGTAAACAGGTCAATAAACAATAAAACAATACTTTTTTTCAGATAAATACGTCTGTAAATGATTCCAAGACCGTACACCATTGCTGTGGTGCGTCTCTGCTACGTTTTCTAAATTATTTCCTACCGTATCGTGCATTTTTTTTATCTGTACATACGCCGATACGGCCCTTATCTGGAGCCCTGATTATGCTCTCTCTTTATATTGAGCAACAGGTGAAAACATGTCACTGAACAACATCAGTGACTTGGTTTCCTGCTCTGGTGTACAGATTGTGTATTACTGGAAATGTGATACAAACTTTCAAGTTAACAAAATAATAATTATCATGATTATATTAAGAAAGGCCTTAAAACTCAACATATCCATCCACATGTTACTTATGTAATTACTATGTTATCCTGCCCACTTCGAAAGAATTGTATTTTCAACAATAATGAAAAAAATTAGCTTAAAAAGACTATATTCTGATTAGGTTCTCATAAGAGCGTGGCTTTCCATAAAGCACATTGTAAGTAATAAGATAACTCACTGTGGTTGATACTACACTGAGTAATGATAACATCGAGGTAATCAAGAATCATTTTATAGAGCAGATTGTTTGAGATAAGTGTTTTAGAGCATATTTCCCTGCTGTGCACTGACTGTGCTGAGTGGTGATATGCATTATAGACAGCTACTGATTAACTCTCAAATGTTTCATGGTGGATGTTCTGTACTTGTCCTATCTGTATTAATAATATTCAAAACAGATATATGCAGGTCAGATACTACTTATAGAATCATGGTGTAGGCCCTATGATAAATGGCACTCATCATGTGTTCGTAACCATGCTAACAGTGTGTTGCCTTTCTAAATCGGCAAGCACTGAATGAGTATGTAAGGTCATGTCATGCTCTGAAATATCATTGGAGTAGGTATGTCATCAATTTTGTGATTGTTTTTTTATTGATATAATTTTTTATGTTTCTGCATGATACAAACTTATGAATGTTTGAAATATTTTAATAATTCACTTACACAAAAATATTAACATTTGTTAATATTTCCATTGTTAGGTTTGAAAATAAAACAATATAAATTCAGGTATAATCCTTTAATGGATCAACGTAATACAGTTACTTTGATTATTTGCTGGTCCAAGCTAGGGCATATTTACCTATACACACATGCTGTTACTAATTTTGATATTTTTCAATATATTATTTTGTTATGATACTTTTGAGTTGGTATAGAAATGACCTGTGAAGATCTGGGTTAGAATTGATCTTCAGTAACCCATGTTTGTTGTAAGAGGTGACTAACAGGATGAGGTGGTGAGACTCGCTGACTTGGTTGACACATGTCATCGTATCCCAGTTGCATATATCAATGCTCATGCTGTTGATCACTGGATTGTCTGGTCCAGACTCGATTATTTACAGACCGCCACCATATAGCTGTAATATTGCTGAGTGTGGCGTAAAACTAAACTCATTCACTGGTATAGAAATGCTGAAATTTCTATTCATGTTAAATGAAACAAATATGACTTCAGTTGCTTCTGACTGACATTTAGTCCCAGAAATAAAGTAGTAAAGTTGAAAGAATATATTTATCAACAAAATAAATCCAAATGGATCCCACAGAGCTGAGACAATCAAGACTTGACAAATCATTCCTGACTTGAGATAATCACTGGTAATACACAGAAAATGTTATTGGGAAAATGCTGTGCTTTCTATTCAGGTATGGGGCGGTGGGGTAGCCTAGTGGTTAAAGCGTTGGCTCATCACGCCAAAGACCCGGGTTCGAATCCCCACATGGGTAAAATTTGTGAAGCCCATTTCTGGTGTCCCCCGCCGTGATGTTGCTGGAATATTGCTAAAAGCGGCGTAAAACCAAACTCAGTCAGTCAGTCTATTCAGGTATAATTTGTACTGTACTGAGAGAATAACTACAGACATTGCCAAATTTCAGTGCAACTTTTAATTTTGAGATAAAAGGTTATCTCAACACTAAAATGTGCTGGAATACGGAACAGATTCGTTATGTAATATGAAACAATTGTTCACAAACAACAAATTTGAAAAGATCAGTTAAGGATACAATTTAAACAGATATTTTCACAAATGTAAGCAAACTGGTTTGACAAAGAAACTGAAACAAAACATTTCAAAGGTAATGGTTTCAGGTTTAAAGGAGACGTTTGGGTTGGTGTCATGTGTGTGAAGGGAATCATTAGTGATGTAATGGAGGTCTTAAGGCTTTTTTACTGAACAGATTAGAAGTTTGTTTCCATAATGTGACTCCTCTCATGAACCATACACATGGCATATATTGGTTATAAAGACATATGGTGTACATTGGTGATTGAGTTCAAAATATATGGTTGACATGCACGCCAGTGTGCACAATCATTTTTAGAACTGACAATCATATCTCAGAACTGACATGAATTGTTATGTGTTTATGCATGTTTATATGTTAAAACTAATGTGCACGCAGGGGCGGTGGGGTAGCCTAGGTGTTAAAGCGTTGGCTCGTCAGGCCGAAGACCCGGGTTCGAATCCCCACATGGGTACAATGTGTGAAGCCCATTTCTGGTGTTCCCCGCCGTGATGTTGCTGGAATATTGCTAAAAGCAGCGTAAAACCAAAGCTCAGTCAGTCAGTCAGTGCACGCAGTAAGTCCTGTGTATATATATCAACATTAACTTCACAGGCTGCATGCCTAATAACATCTTTGAGAGGCATTGTTTATTTAATCCTTAACACATTAACTGTGAACAATATCTCTGATTTCCTCTCTTGCAAAAAATCCTCTTCAAGTCTGTGCTCACTAATATCAGTCAATAGGGAGACGTTAGTCTGCTAATGGGTGAGCCGGATTGTGTTTTTCGTTCATGGGAACAGACACTAAAAATCTGTGTGCTTGACAAATCAAATCCCAAATGGAATCATGGAATAAATGCAGTTATCGTCTGAGGTGATGGAATTGATCGGGGATAGGCTCACCGGCTGGTTGATTGCCTTTTCTCGTACAAACTTGAATGTGGGAATGAAGCTCATTGTATCAATTCCTGGGTTGTCTGGTCAGTACTCAATTATTTACTGATGACTGTCACATTGCTGGATAATGCTGAATGTGTTGTCACACAAATACAACAATATCACATTTCGCTTGACCTGCTTATGTCATCTGAGTTGTCCATGTCAGACTTTCAGTCTCATAACCTGGAAATCTGGCATGATTGTGATGTTGGTGTGGCAATTGCAGAAGAATTGATAATGTTTTTTCTAACTGTATCAAAGAAATAGTATGTGGTACTGTGTACATCTTCGTATATATATATATACCTGATTTAGCATATTGTTTAGAACTTTTGCTCATCACCCTGAAGGCCAGCGTGTCACTCACTCACTCACTCACTCACTTATTCAACTATTGTTTGCTTACCCCCAAAGATTTGGGTTCAGTGAGTGAGTTTAGTTTTACCCCGCTTTTAGCAATATTCCAGCAATATCACGGCGAGGGGGCCACCATAAATGGGCTTCACACATAGTATCCATGTGGGGAATCGAACCCAGGTCTTCTGCAGGCTGAGCGAACGCTACCCCACACGGCTACCCCACCGCCCCAGGGTTCAGTGTTCCCCTCATGGTGGCAGTGTGTGAAATCCTTGTTGTGTGCTGCTGTGGCTGGAATATTGACCGAGGACGGTCATTGTCAACATGTCACTGTACGGACGGGACACTCACGGATTAACCCCTTTCCAGTTGACTGATCAGAGCTAAATAACACAATGAGAAATAAAATGAGAAAAGTCAAATTTATATTTATTCTTCCAGCTACTATGTCTTTGATAATAAGAAATATAAGATAGTAGAAATCAGCACAAAATTAACTGTTGAAATAATTATTTATAAAATGCATTGTAAAATGTCTCTGGCCAAAACAAACATCTTACAGTAAAATATTTTTTTTACAAAAGTTAAAATGGTAAGTGGAATACTTATTATAAATTATAAACAGAATGAGTACTTAATTTGTCATAAAAATTGACAGACTCAGAAGATAAAGAAGATGAAAGTAAATATGTTTTTTGACTGTATATGCTTTAAGACATAAGACTGTGTCTTAATTCCCTAGTCACTGTTGATTGTGTTAGAGTGTTAAGTCAGTCCATCAGCTGATTATCAGCTGTTCCCAATCAGTGCAACAATACAAGTCTATTACACCAGTACTTCAGTGAGACCTTGACAGCTATGCCTCTGGCCAGACGAGTAATCATGGTAATGTATCATGTTGTTATGTAACTCTACCACCAGCAACAGTCTTCAAGTGAAACTGTTATGCATTCATTGTCAGTTGCCGTTTATCAAGTTATGGATGAAATTGTCGCAAGTCTCAAGCCAGCCTGTGATGGTTGTTATTAATGTTGCCCTGAAGGGCGATAGGGGCACATTGTTTTCTCCTCTAGTTATGTCATGTCGGTTTG